GGCTGGAGTTTCGGTGTATTTCGACACCTACCCCCGTTGGAGACGCTGATCATCATTAGCAGCTCCATTGCCATTTTGGCGTTTGAGCTCAAAAGCTTGCTCGCGTTCTCGCAAACGTTCTTTGCATTGCCGTTTGCGATGCCCTGCCTCCTCTCGAAGCTTCTGTGCCTCAGGAGAGTCCTTGAGTGACCAGGGGCCGCCTTTCATCACCTGGTCGCGGACTGGATTCCCATACTCCTTCGTGAGGCCATCGGCAGGCATCGTCAAACCTGGCACCCACCTTATCCAGCGATTGCTGTCCGGCTCATAGAGCGCCTCCTTGAGGATGGCGATGTCAATTGCAAGCCGCTTGTCTTCTCCATTATTGATGCTATTCAAGATGTCATAGCCTGTCTTGGAGTCCAGAACCAATACTTCTGGCCACCGGCTTGCACTCCAACGCCATTGTTGCAAAGTGAAGTTTGCGTCCCAAACCTCAGCCATCATCGCGCGCACATACTCGCACTGGTCCAGGGTCTCGGCTGCCTGCGAAATCTCTGCTGCCAACGAAGAGCGGACCACCCTCTTCAACACAGCGCTGTGGTAAAGCAGGCATGTGACCTCCGATGGGCCCTCGAGGATCTCCTGGTTGGCGACGAGGACCATCATCCCGCCTTGGGATCTTCCTTTGGGCATGCTTCCATGCGAAGCATCACTCACAGCTAGGAAGACCAAGCCTTCCATACCTCCAGGAAGCTTCTGAAAGACCATTTCGTAGGGCTCCCTTGCTTTCTTCACCAGCTGGTTGAGGAGCTTGATGGTATCCGGATCTCGGGCCCCAGCCATCTGCTGAACCCGGCTGATGCCATAAGCGAGGTCCGCTCGCCCTTGTCTGGCCATCCAGTTCAACTGACCGCCCACCGAGGCCACCCACTTCTTCTCCACGTCGGTGAGCGGGGAGCGATCTTTTCCATCTCTCACCGGGGCCTCCTTCAGCTTATGGGTGTAGCCATCCATGGTGACCACTATCTTGAAGGTCTCTTGGCACTGACGTTCCCACCTTCCACAAAACTTCACCGTCTGTTGGGTGGCACATTGCCACTCCCCGAACTTAAAAGTCTCTCGCAGACGGTCAAGGACATACTGGAACTCAGGGTGGAAGGCCATTCGAAGATCATCTACATGAATCGAAAGAATTCCACGTAGAGCTCCTTTGACATGTAGAACGAACGTGCCCGGGGAGAGCTTCAACTCCTTCAGCCCTATCTCCAACAAACCTCTGCGTAGACGAAGATACCAGAGGCGGGGAGACTCTGCCAAGCCGAACCCGCCCTTCATAAGTCTGACAAGGTCAGAGCGGATGCTTCCGCCCTTTTGCGCTCCCAGGCGAGCCAACAGGTGTTCACTGATCGCCTCGGGATACCCTTTTGGAAGCTTGATATAGACCACCCGCTCAGCTTGAAGCTTTTCTCCCTGCAGGAAGGCTGCAGAAATATCGGCATACTTCATCGGCCATCCCATCTGCGTACTCACGAAACACACGACATTGTGAGCCACTAGGCTAGCCGTCGGTGCCTCCGTTGCGTACTGACCAGCCTCCTTGTCCAAGTGGCCTGCCAAAACCCAACGGGCCTTCAGGGTCGCGTGCTCCAGGCCACCCAAGTCGCTCTCGTTGGTCAGGACAAACCGCGACGGAAGAATCTTCTGGGGATCAATTGGTTTCCCCAACGGTACAGAATCTAGTGCTCCATTGTCGATATATACATCGATGGCCTTCTTCAGCGGGTCCACAAAAGCCTGTTGCCACTCAGGAGAAAGAGACTTCCATCGAAACTCCAACCTGGGCTTTCCGGTCACTGGGGCTTCAAGCTGCTCCACCTCCTTCGGGGGTTCACACGAATCGTTCTGCATCTCGGGCGCTATCTCCTCTGTGACCTTCTCAACTTCTGCGGCATATACAGACCACCCTGCACGACGGCCATGTGGATCATCTGACGCTGTCCCCTAGTGGCCCCCCCGAGATGCCAGACCCTTTGCATATGTAAAACTCCATGACCCCTGTGGCTACCATGTTGTTTAGGACCAGAAGGAGAAGGAACGGAATTTGAGGCTGAAGCACCACCTTCTTGTACTCGAGCTGTACCTACCTGAGAAGGAGAAGGAACGGAATTTGAGGCTGAAGCACCACCTTCTTGAACTCGAGTTGGAACTTCTGACGAAGGAGAAGGAATGGAATTTGAGGCTCTAGAAGCACCATCTTCTTGAACTCGAACACCCGGCTCATACTTCCTCAGCACGGCTTTCATCTTGCTTAGGTGTTCTTCGGTCGCATCCTTGGCACCCACGAACCGGAGCTTCTTTTGTGGGGGCCAAGTCCCACCTCCAGGAGCATCAAAACGCTTATCTCGATGAAGCTGGGCAGGGACATCACCCAGTGCCGATACTCGATCATAAAGGCCTTCGGGAGGAGGATCATCCGCGGAATCAGGTTCTTCATCATCGCTCATCTCCCTCGGCTCAAGCTGCTCACCATCATTCTCAGGCGCGGGCTCGATCTCTTCAATGTTGGGCCTTCCTCCCTCCAGCTCTCGCTCCACCTCCCTTAGTGCGTCTTGGCATATTTTGGATGCCTCCACCTCCTCGAGAGCTGTCAGCCGAATGAACTCCAGAGGGAGGCCCTTCAGCTTGTTCCGATAGCGCACCCAAACTCTCCGGATCGACCCGTCTCTCCTCTCGATTGCCGCCACTACCGCCGGTCCCATCCAGGCGATCTGATCTCGGAGTCGCCGAGGAAGGCCTTTCCGAGAATCGGGAGGATCATAAAAGTACACCGTAGCCCCCTCATACAACATCTCCATCTTGGGGCTGCGGCTCTTGGCATTCAAGGCTTTCCTCAGAGTCTCATGGCCATCCATCCAAATAAAGGCCTGAGCAGCTGCTTGGCGAATCTGCTCATTGCGGTGGCGGGCCTCATCGAAAGACAGGTCCTGGTTCAGCACACACTTGAAGTGCAGGGAAGAGGGAATGGCAACATCTTTCCCAAGCACAATCTGTGTTGGCGAAAAGCCTGACACTCGGGCTTGCCGATTCCTGGCTGCCGTGGCCGCAACCACACACTCCTTCGTTTCGCTGTACCCCTTGGCCGTCACCGCATACATCGTCTTCATAACCAAGAGCTTCAGAATAGCTCCATGTCTCTCGGCCAGTCCCATGCGCCATTTGGCCGAAGGGGGAACCATTTCGTGGAACACATCGTAGGCCCTCATGAGCGCCTCCGTGTCGGCCGCATACTCAGTACCCGCGTCCGACATTAGCACCTCCGGGGGGCCGAAGATGCCCACCCAATAGTTCTTCAGGAAGTGGGCCACCAAGTCCGACTTCGCCGTGGGCATGAGGGTGGCCACCTGATACAACGAAAAGGCATCCACGGCGTGCACCACGGCATACTTGGTCTTGTTGGCATCCCAGATGAAAAAGACATCCGTCACCACTCTTTCATTGAATCTCTGTGGCTTGTCGTAGGCTGCACGCGGACACGGTCTTGGGGCCGTCACTGATTGGCACACCTGGCACCTCATGTCTGTCACGGCCCGCAGGATATGGTCCTTAGCTCCGTGCAAGTGCAGCATGCGTTTCAGCTTTTCCGCTGAAACGTGGCCCAGCGCCACGTGGAGCTTGGCCAGGGTGCTGCGAAGGTCACGTGAAAGGGAGCCACTGGCTCCTTCAAAATAGATGTAGTCGAACTGACTACCAGTTGCCTCGCCCAGCCTGTGTCGCAAAAGCCCTTCAGGAGACTGTTCCACTTCCACTGGCACGGCTTCCCAGGCAACATCACTGCTACATTCTTGACTCATGCAATCGTAGCCGTCGGAGCCTGCCTCACGCACAAGGTGTCCCGCGCTGAGGCCAGGAGTTTTGTTGCCCATTCGCTCGTCCATCGGCTAGCTTGCTGCAGGCGACTGATCTCGCTGCCATCGGCGTCCTTAGTTTTTCCTTCAATTTCTTGATGTTCTCCCGGACGATGTTGGCACCGTCCTCCCGCAGCAAGTTGGGCACACCACCATGGATCGTTGACTTCAACTCGGCATGCTTTCTTGTAGGGTCTAGCCGTGGCTTCATCCCGTGCCCCCCACTGACACATATCCACTTGAACATCATATTGGGGCTCTCGAGCACCATCTTGTGCATATAATCCCGGATCGTGCCCATGTTTGCCGTCTCGATAGTACTCAAAATGGAGCCTCCGCATTTCATCGGGGTCCGGAGGCTTCATCTTCCCCGGCATTTGTAGAAGAACGAGTCGGTGGTGCTCGCTCTGGTGTTGCCAAACATCCCAAATCAACCTCCACATCGGCCAGTACTTCACCTTCTGTTGCATTGTTTCCTTGGCCGAGCCTTGCCACCAGGGGGACCACGGCCCCGCAGGAGGTCCAATCATCACGACGTCCGGCTTGGCTCGGCGAACCTGCTCCAGGATGTGAGCGCACTGCTTGGCATTCGGAGGCCCAGGTTTGTCCCACAGAGGACCCAGGCCTTTCCATTGCCCAGGCCCTTCTACACGATGCAACGGTGCGCTTGTAGGGAAGATCTCCATGACCACCCACTCCACGTTGCAGGCGGCCACCAAGGTGAGGAGGCCAACATTGCGAGCACCTCGGGATACGCCACACTTCAGCTTCTGCTCCAAGCCTCGCGACGGTTTGCGCCTCGAGGGCCGTTCTTCTTCTCGCACTAGTCGATCGGCGTGGGAGCTTCGCGGTGGCTGCTTGCCACCGGACGGTTTCCCACCATCAAAGAGGCCCGTCTCGGATCGTTGCAGCTCCAAGGTGCCCCCACATCGCTCCCAGCTGTCGCCCAAGCAGAAGCATCATCCAGCGGGGATTCCTTTTCCATTTGGCTGCCGAGCCGAACTCTCGCCTCACAGCCTCGCGAATCCGCACCATCCACACGAACATCTTCCACTTGAAGGCGAAGAGCTGGCCCTGGAGGGACAGCATCAAGTTTATCACCAGGTCGTCCGAGAACTTGTTCGACAGGGAAGGGAAGGGAAGGGAAGGGAAGGGCGCCTCGTGATCCGTCAAGGCGTGTAACTTCATCGGCGTCTTTCCCTTGCTTGTCGGACCCGGCTTGGCTGAGCGCGTCGTAGAAGATGTCGCACGGCTCGGAGACTCCTTCTTCTTCCTCGGCTTCTCCTCCACCACTTCCACCTCGTCCATGATCTGCAGGCTCTCCTCGGAGTCTTCCTCGCCACTGCCACTCTGCTTGTCCGCAGCCTCCATGTGGTAGTCCCGGTTGCAGCTGCAGTTCATCCACTCCTCGTGTAGATCCGCCACTCTCTGCACCCAATATGCTTTTGTCGCCTTGGAGCCCGGGGTCGCAATGGACTTCGGATGCATGTAGCCCCGGAGGAGGCCTTCGAGCTCTTCCGCCTGCGCCTCGAGCATCGCCTTGGTCCGCTTGTCCTTCCCGTCGATGGAGCTCGGAGTCTTGGGTGCAGGGGATGACGACATCCTGGCACCGCTGGGCTTCATCGTTTTGCGGTTGATGCCCCTGTCGGCCTTGGTGCGAACTCGATTGCTCTCTGCCGATTTCGACCTCGCCTTGTCGCCCGACTTCGATCGGGCCACTCGGTCCCGAAACTTTGGCTTCCTCATAGCAGATCTCGGGCGTCGCAGGCGAGGCGATTCGGTCGGAGTCGGAGTCTCCACCTTGTCCCATCCTCCGCTCAGCGCCTGGGAGAACTGGTCGTCGTCCGTGTCCCCCGAGTTCATGGCGTGGCGGGACACTCGGCTCGCCTCGGCCGGGCGTGGAGCGCGGTCCTTCGAGGTCAACACCATCGCTGAAGGAATCTGCGCACGAATTGGAGGGAATCGTCGCACCCATTTGGCGCATACTATCCGAAACCTCAGAGCCCGGCACCCGGAAGCGGAAGGTCGTTGTAGTATCAGTCCGCTGCTTCAAAGGGCGTCGAATCTGAGTGTTGGCATCAACGACTTCATCTACTATCAAGGCTCCCGTGTTGCTGTCAACAACAGTGCGACGGATGACCAAATGCCAAGGGGGGCCTCTCTGTCCAGGACCAATAAGACATTCAAGCCCTTTATCTCGACGAGTCCATGACTTCACAAGTTCACTGCTACACGTAGGGGCCGAGGACGACAAGGCAAGAGTATCAGCGTGATACACAGGAACTGCTTCAAGCTGCAAAGGAACTGGAGGGTCATGGACCGGAGGCATGCTGTCGGTGAACTCAGCGATGGACAACGCGTAGTGACCACCAAACGTCTGAAACAGGCCGTAGTTTTTGACCTTGAGCTTCCGGGACGATACTGTGTGACGTTCGGTATCGATGATCATCCCCAGTTGGGTGCACGCAGGTTTGGATAACAAAGGAGGGCATTCTCCAGGCACGACACTCAACCTCAAGATCACCTGCACTCCCAACACCGTCGCCTCAAAGACAAAGGAGAAAGCACTATGCAACTCATGTCCATCCCCAAAACGGAAGCTTTCACATTCCTTGACAGCCTTCATCCATCTCCCCTCACTCTTCAAGCGCTGTATATGCTGGTTCACCCACTTAGTACCGGCAACCGACTTCATGCATCCCAAGTCCAGAATCAAACTGCTGTGCAACTCTCTCATGGACCAAACAACTTCATGATCTTTGAGCGTAGAGTCAACAAGGTTCGTGGCAAAACAACCATGCATAGCTGAAGACCCTGCGGACGGCTCCCCTGACATGTATCCCGCCATGGCTTCAAGCAGGCTCCATTGTCCCGGGTCCTCGGAGTAGGGGCCCGCGGTCACATTGACCGAATGCGAAGCACGGCCGTTCCCGCGCTTGCGAAGAGGACATTCTTGAGACCAATGTCCAAGCTTATTGCATAAAAAACATGGCTCCTTCTTCTGCTGCTCCTTCACCCAGGCACGAGTCTTGTCTTGGTTGCTCCCCTTCTGGAAGAACTGCCTCATTTGCTTCAACTCATTGACTCGTCGTTTGGCCTTATACTCCTGGGCGAAGATCTCTGCAGGAGTGCTGCCCTCGGGGTCCACCTCGCTCTTCGACGACGATGACTCATCCTCTTCATCATTGTGGCCCTTGTCATCGTCATCAGCCTCTGAGGGGGAACTCCGAGCTTCCTCAGAGTCGTCCGTATCGTCCTCGAGGATGGCATGAAAAACCTGACGCCACTTCTTGTACTTGCCCGACTTCTTATCCCTGCTTGCGAGGCGCTTGAACGGTCTAAAGCTCCGTGGTGCGTGTCGCTCTTCGCGGTCACCTCCACGTCGATTCTTCTGCACCAGGAACTCATCATCATCGGGAAGGTCGGGTTCTCCTCGGCCGATGCTTACCCCAGGGGCTCCTTCGAGCTGGTCTGCCAGCTCCAACATTGCATTCACCACTTTGCCCTCGTCATTGAGGCCACCGGCCGCGGTCTTGATCAAGGCCTCGTCTTTCCTCGTCAGCTTCGCCGCATCCAGCAGGTGCCCAAGATAAAACTTCGATCCCACTTTGTAGCTCTGGCTTTGGTCGTTCTCGTGCCTGTAGATCGAGGCTCGGTTGATGAAGCTTTCCAAAGATTCACCAGGGTGCCTCGCCAGCTTCATGAACTTCTGCCGGCGACGGTCCACTTCCTTGTGCTCCAGGAGGCGGATGATAGGAGACTTCTCCATCTCCCGCTTGATAATCATCACCCCGTCTTCGCACGCCACATCCTCCACCGTCAAGTGGGCCACGATCTTGGCGGCCCGCTCCTTCTGCTGCTGCATCAACCGGGAGCTCCTCACGGCCGGGGGAAGGTTCGTTCCTTCCGACGCCAACCAAAACTCCACTGCTCGCCAGTAGTCTTTCCAACTTTCTCCCGGCCTGGCACGAAACTCGGGAGGGAACGAGCTATGAAGCTTCAAGTAGCTTCCCCCTCCTTGGCCTTCGGAGGCCTTGCGCTCATTCTTGCCTTCGCCGCCTTCCGAGGGGATCGCGGTCACGGTCGGCATGACTTGCCCTTGGCACCCACCTGCAAGTTCCCGAAGACGCGTGTTATCACCATCATCTTGCGCAGGACGGCGGTCTTGCGGCGGATCGACTTGAAGAGGTCGGCGTTCCTCCTGCCGAATCGTTCCACTCGCCAGGCCGCCTCGTTGGGCTCTCGTCCAAACCATCGTTTTTGGCTTCGGCTCCGGGCTGTTCTCGCGTCGGGAGAGCAGACGAGGAAATGGAACTTCGTCATCTTCCGGTCCATTGCTGCTCACACTTTCTTCCGATCTTTCGGACCTTTCCGACCAATTGGAATAGCCCCGAGGAGCCGCACGGGGCGCCTCGAAGTGGCGCCAGTTCGGTCGGTGGACATCAAGATAAGACGACCAAGGGTCCTGGCCCCAGTCATTCCCAGACCAGCTGCTCCAGGACCACTCCCAAGAAGCCCCTTGAGCTTCTCGCTCCTGTCCGCTCCAGCTTCCTGAAGACCAATTCGCAAACTCCTCTCTGGTTCTAACCGGCGTTGTTCCGAAGGCTCTGTCCCTCAATGAACCATTCACTGAAGGGGTCCAAGGCCTTGCACCCTCACCACCGGGTTCCAGAGTCGTCTCCGAACTGACAGGATCGTCGTCCATATCATATGACCACTCTCGGCTCACAGTCTCGCGGAGGCCGCTCATGGCTCAAGGAGCGACCGAACTACCTGAATACCGAAGAACACCGAAAACCAAAGGACACCCCAATCAATGCTCACGCTACCACAAGAAAGACCAACCGACACAAAAGTCCCAAACGCCCGACCCGGGGCCTTTTCAACCCCTCCGCACGACTGCGAGCCCATCCTTGCGGGGCGAACACCTGATCAGCGGCTGGAGTTTCGGTGTATTTCGACAGTAGTAGTAGTAGTAGTAGTAGTACCAGTAGTTGTGAATGGGCCATGGGCTTGTATGGCCGAGTCCGTGAATGTTTTGGATCTCGTTTCCTATCTCGTTTCGATCCGGCTATGTCAGCCCAAAAATGCCAAAGTAAGTGCAAGTCTTCCGTCGGAAAGACGTGAGCGCTCACGTGACTATGACTCAAAAGTACTAGCTTCCGGGCCCAAAATGAAGGGCCAAGGTGCGGTAAGCGGATCCTGCCTAGACCCCGCTGAATCTGGGCTTCTCTTCTACTCTGCACGTCGCCGTACACGAACCGTCAGAGCTACAGTAATTGGCCGAAACGCTGCGGTTCATTCGATTTCAGATGAGACTGCATCGTGTCATACATGTATGTGATCTCGTTTTATGCGGTGCCCCCCATCTCACTTCCCTCTTAGAGCAAGTTCTGACAAATAAAATACCTTGGCGGAGGTATCTCGTTTCAAAAGTGCGTAGTATTAACGCAAATAAAAGCCGTCGCTCAGTTATTGAATCGTTCTATGTAAAGTAACAAGGTTCGAAGCCTTGCACGGAACGTGCAGTCGATAGTTCCGACGGTGGCACGCCACACAGTGCAGAAAAGTCTACAAGGCTCTCCATTGGTTCGGGAGGCGGAGCACCCGATAACCAACTCCATCTCAATGTGGAATTCTCTCCGAAAGCATGAGCAAGAGATAGCAGGAGCATGCATTCGAAGTCTGCCGCAAAGCATGCGGATTCCCGCTTGATTTGGTGGCCTAGGGCTAGCCAAACCCTCCTGATGCAAGGGTCTGATTCGGGTGGGTCCCCCTGTCTTCGGCGCCTAGTTTTTGGAAGCCGGGCTTCTGAAACAACAAATTTTCTCCGGCCCTAAGTACTACATTATTGTTACTGCTCCTGAGCACTACTAATCCTCAGTCAGTTTTTGTTGTTTCGGGGGAACCCTCCTACACATATCAAAGCCTCACATTATACGAAGTCCCCCATTGCCATTTCATTACTCGCGTGTTGCAAGCTCTGCAAGCGTGCAATTGCCTGGCGATGCAGCCCGAGTTGCTCGTGGCTCTTCTCCAGCATCGCGTCTGCGAGCTTGAGACAAGCAAGGGTGGCCTTCGCTGCTTGGCTCAAGGCGGCGAGTGCAACAGTGCGAGGTTGTGACTAAGGCACTAAGGAATCTTTACGGTGAGCCGAGTCCAGTCTTGGTGGTGCACAACGCTGACTTCTCTGATGAAAACGGACAGCACGGGAAATGCTGCACAAGGCTGACAAATGCAACAGTGGTAAACTGCCTGGCTAAGGCGCATTGCAGCTGTCCCGACTTCGCGAATTCGTATGAGCAGCCACAAGGTCACATAGCTCATGCATGAATACATCATCATGGTCATTGTGTTAGCAAACCATTTAATGATGATGGTGATGAGTGATGATGATAATGATGATAATGGCGGTGATGACGTATGGTACCAGGAAGGAAACCACTAGCAAACCACGACCGATGTTGCCGAGAGTGCCTGGTGTACGAGCGGAATGAAACCGGACCGCCGCCGGAGGTGAAAGATGTCAATGTTGGGGAGGTTGAGCAACATTCTCGTAACGATTCGACCAGCTGGAACGGCAAGAGTATCGCATCCCAAACTGACTGACGAAGACAATGAACATGGCACTGGTGCACATTGTGCAGGGCGACTGGTAACATTGTGATACTGATGGCAACTTCAACATTAGCAACAGCTGATTGTGCCGCGTGTAGCCACTGCGCCGATAAACCCGGCCAAAGGATAAACGCCTTCGCAAGGGCCCCAACTGTATTGGCATGATGAGGCAGCTGAATGATCGAACCTGCAGAAACCTACAGGCAGTAGTGATGCTTAGTGATGGTCTCGCCCTGATAACACTGACAAAGATGACGAAAGCATAGGGAAATCATGATCGCGAGCAGACACTGAATCCTAGATTCCTAAATCACTAGACCCGAACCTTGGGGGGCAGGGACAGGAACGAAAGGCAGTGCGGGGTCGAAAAAGCTTCCTCAAAGCTCGATGCAGCTGGAGTCTGACCAGGACTGCCCTTGTCCTTGCTGTTGTTTCCATGCCCTATCTTGTCTTTGTGTGTCGGCCGCCCGACTAGTACCACCGCACCTCCACCATGACGACGACTGTTGCTGCTACTTAGCATTGTTTCGGGTGCTGCTGTACAAGACCTGCTGCCGCCGCTGCCTCTGCTGCTACAACGACCCCTGGGACGAAGGCTTGTTAGACGAAGTCAATCTACAGCCCGCATGTATATTTCTTCAGTTGAGTGCCGATTCTATCCGTGTTCTGTTGCAGCTTTTTTGAAGTCTTCTGATTGTCGCTTGATCAGCTACTCAGCTACTAGTGATGATGTCTACCGTGGTTACGAGCAGCTTCCTGCTTAAGCGCTCGCTGGCCCTTCGGTCCGGCCACATCTCTGCGGCCGGGCTGCCAGCGTAGGCTGCAGAGTCGGGTCAGGGTTGGACAGCTGGTCATGGAGAAGCGCTGCCTTTAGCCGGCACCCTCAAGTCTTAAGCTTTGACTTGCGATTGCAAGTTGCTCAGGCGGGTACTGCCAAGTGAAGGGTTTGATCCATGAGCTGCATGTCCGTACCAAGCCGAAGCAGAAGATCCACCTGCCATCGCGAGCCAGTCGGGGAATCGCTCGACACTGAGATCTCTGTGCGGTGAGATGCAGTGGTGGTCGGTTTTTGATCCATCGTTGCAGCACACGTCCTCCGGGCGTCGTCTGGGCACATGTGCACATTTTGCATCATGAAGCCCCTGTTTCCGCCCCAGCTCACGTGGGACTTGCAGTTATTGGATCGATGTTGCCGGACGCAACAGGATCGAGCATGTCCATTCACAGCTCGCACGATTTCGCCACGATGCCAGCGCATACCAGCGCAAAGAACTGGGCCAACAAAAATGGCGAATTCCTTGCACTCAGCGGAAGAAACCTCGTTTCCGCTCGCGCGGCGGCGGCTCGATGGGCGCCTCTGCAGCAGCTTTGGCCACTTTGTCGAAGTCCTCATCGCCTGAGGGTGAGGGATCACGGGGGCACTGAGCGGAAAATGTGATGCTTCTCGCGAAGCGGAAGCCAAGGTGCTCAGATATCCAGGTACAACCGTCGGCCTCTGTGAAACACTCGAGATGCCGGTCGAATCCCCCCAAAAAGATCTCGCCTGGATCCCGGCTCTCCAAAGAAGTACATTGTAGGGAAGCCTGGAACACTCGGAGCACCAACGTCTGAGTCTGAGACGCTATACTCGAGAGCTGCTCCGTGCCTTCGACACCGAATCGGCGCATCACCGGGCCAAACTCCTCCGCACGGTTCTGAGGGCAGTGCCCTCACACAGGGATGCACAGGGCAAGCGAGCGGTCCGATGCGTCGTAGATGAATATCCGCAGAGGTTTGTGGAGAAGCGTCGGGCCCTGGCTCGACAACACTGCGAGTTCGACATTGTGTACCGATGATGGCATGCAGCCGTTGCAGAAGGCATCGCAAATTCTATCAAATTCTTCTAGTTCCTTGACTCTTTGTGATTGTGCTCATTGTCATGCACAACAGAACATCGACGTTCGCCTTATCTATCGAATTGTGCGCAAACTTGCTCTCGTTAACTTCTCGTGATTTGTGGAGATGGCGGTGCAAGCCTCTGTTCTTACACATGGCTCGTCGTGTTTGGACGTGGCACGGTTGATTGTGGCCAGTCCTTGCTCTCAAGCCCACGTTGTCGTGATCCTGCCTCACAGGATCTTGCACAGAGCTCGCGTGCTTCTGACGCTATGACATAATGCGCGCCCTGAGTCGTACTGGTGAGCTTGCATCCATCAACTTCATTCTTGTCTTCGCGCATTGCGTTGTAATTCCTGGTTGAGCCCTGCATGCCCTGCCGGGCCCTGCCGTAGCCCGGGCCTCCGCATCGTCTACAGGGCCGGCGGCCAGGGCATCGGCCCGTCTCTTGACCGCCTTGCGAGAGCCGGCCAGACGCAAGCTCCGGTCGCCCGCCGCGCGTGAGACATTTACACTGCTGGCCAAGTTTCGCGTTCCAAAACTGGATGAAGCTTTTCACACCAAGGGCATCCGGGACCTGCAGTTGAGAATTAACTTCCGAGGCTGCAACAGAAGACTGAGCGTTCTGCAACATGAGCCCATGGGCGCGAGAAGACCATCACCTCGGAAAGGAAAGCAATGACTACGACTCGGCATGTGCAATTTTCCTGAAGCATGTGCAGCTCTTCAATCAGGCAAGTCGCAACTTGCTCTTCTCCTGACTGAATGGCCTGAGGAAAACGTCACCACATCATCATCGACATCGATATCGTCACCAATAATCATCGCAGCTCAGCGAATACCTCGGCTAGTTGGACCCAAATCGGCCTGGGCCATCTCAGTCCACAGTGCTTGCTGCCAGCCCTCCTCCGCAGGGCCGTTGCCAGGCCTGCCAGCACCAGACTTCTTGGTGCCTCCCGGCCAGACCCGCATGGACGCATGGACCTGCCTGGGGTCGGAGACCAGCTGGACCTGGCCGTTGGGCATCAGGCGCTCCTCGCCGCTGCGAAGCTGGATCTCCTCGACCACCTCACCCCAAAATCGTCGCAAGTGCTCCCAGACTCCCAGATTTCTTTCTTCCCACCTGCGTGTCGGAGCGGCCCGGCAACACCTGCCCGGCAGGTCTGGCGCAGAACCCGGGACGGAAAAAGAGTGATGCGAGAACCCGACCAGCGGTGCCGAGAGTGCCAGCATCGCCAACAGGGCCGCCGAAATCACCCACATGGGCTTCGGGGGACCTGAGTGCCGGAAGGACATAAGAGAAGGCATATAGTATTGCACCTTGTTGCATGGCTTCTGAAAACTTCTGGAAGGCTTGGCACTGTCTCTACGCTTGGCCAGGATGTAGGCCCCACCAGAGACGGCTACTCCAGGGGTGAGCACGAGGATCAGCTGAGTGAAGTAGTTCCTGAGTCTGGCAGACACGTTGCTTAATGAGAACCTGGCACCTGCCGAGCAACTTCGTCAAACCTTGTACAGTAGTTGGCAGTTGACACAAGCATATGCTTGCTGAATGACATAGCCGCTGCCGCCGTCGAGGCCGTATTCGCAAAGGCTTGAGCATCCGTCGAGGCAGAGGAGTGCAGCGACAGGAGTGCACCTACTGTGACGGCGGATGCCAGCACTGTCAGTCTGCGGGAGCGCGCCTGAGATGAAGACAGGTGTGACAAACAAAGCCGGTGCTCTTGCACAACAAACTGCACTGTATTCCCTGCCCTGTCTGCTGCCAGACTTCCATTCGGCAAGTGTGTCAGAGGCTGGGGTGCTGCGATACCGATAATCTACGTGCCGACAATCTCATCGACAACGGTTGGATCCAAAACTCACCACGCAGCAGGAACGGCAAGCGGTATCGCTGCAAGCAAGGTACTGGGACATGTCAGCATGCGGTAACATTCCCCACAGCTTCAAAAAAGACAGACAGAGAAACCTCCTGCTGCCACCGAAGCACTGTATGCCTCGGAACAGGAGAGCTGACATGTGAGCATGTTGAAGGCCGCAGCCAGTTCTGCCTTTTTGGAGATTCACCGCGCTGCCTCCTTTGCCAGCCTTGGTCCCTTGACTTAAAACCATACGTGCAATACGTGCAGCATTACCTCTTGTAGCAAAGGGGTTTTCAACACCATCAAACCTGTGGCACGTGCTGAGACCGTTCGCTCGCTGGAACGGGCCTATGAACTTCTCTGCCCAGGCATGACGAAAGCGAGCTCGTTCGCGGCAAGCTCAAATCTCTGAGAAATGAGGCTGACGGTGGCAGGGTACGTGTTTGTCTGCAACGCTGCCACTGCCTTCGCCGATCCACTTTCTCAGTGGCTGCTTGCAGTGAGCGGAATCTTTCAATTCTTGTCTCCTCTCCGAAAATCTTGGTGACGTGGCGGGCGGTGATGTGTGGTGTATTCGCAGCGTGTTAGCACTCTCGAGATTTGGTTGGGACGAAGTACTCCCGCCGTTTCCTAGGTTGAGATCCAAGCCATCCATGCCCTTGCAGTGTTTCATCTGCAATCATGTGCGATTTCGCCTGATGGTCATGCTCATCAAGCCACCAGCGAAGACTGCGCCATTTTCCATACTTCTGCAAGTTCTGCACGCAAAACGCCGTGCTGGCTCTGGTTTTACACCCGGAATTCGGAATGTGCAGAAGTTGAGGAACTTCGGGGAGATCGACTCCAAATCTTCAGCGGGGATGTCTTTGCATGTACTTTCTATGACTTTCTGAATTGCAGGCCGAAAAAAACCTCGCTTCTCAAGTCTTGAAGCTTGCCGGCATCAACTTGCAAGAACTGTTGCAAGAGTGATTCAGGGGGGAGATGCAGGGTACTCAGCATGCTCCGGATCGTGCACACAGCTCTAGCCTACAATGCCAACATTTGGATGCGTCCAATTTGCTTGTTGTTCTTCCGCTCTGCTCGGCTCAAGGTTTTTCACATGAACAACTCCTGCCGCAAACAGCGCTGAGTCGCGTACGAAGGGAGTGTTGATGCTGAGGGTCGACACATGGCATCCTGAAACATGACGGTCGCAGCTTATAGTGGCTGCATTCTGCCATGCATTGCCTGCCGCATCATCTCTGCCCACAAAGGCGGCCTGGCAACCCCAACAGAACTATTCAAGGTTGCACAAAGGTCGTAGTTGACGGTCTGAGAGCACGGCCACAAAGTGTCTCCGGACATTGCCCCACACAGCCTCCTGGACAAGTGGGTTCAACTCCGAAGACTTGGCAGTCGGTGGTGCCGCGTGATCGACGGACGTACCAATGTCTCTCACCCCCTAGACGACGTTTCGGCTCCTTTTGGACACTGGCGAGCCCTGGGAAGACTGCGTGAAGAGCTGACACCGCCTCTCTGATTCCGGGCGGAGCAGGCAGCATTCCATCTGCAGACTTCAGGGTGGCAAGGATGCGGCGCCAAAGTCTGTGCCACAGCTGTGCCCGGGGTGGCCATCTGCACATCCAGGTATGGCAAGCTGGCCAGACGTTCTGACCCGAACGGCCTCTTGCTGACTGCAAGGAATGTCCTGTCGCATGGACGCATGCGAGTTGGGATGTCCCATGCCGCCGAAACCAAACGCTACGAAATCTCCGTGAAACTTCGTGACTCCTGGCTCCACTTCCATGAAACTTGCGATGGCCCCGACATATCACAGGGCGACTCTTGGCTCTGCCTTGCTCAGAGTGCGTAAAAAGCAGGCCCACACTGCTGTCTTGCTGAGCACCCTTCTGTGATTTCTGGCGCACCCGTCGACCCTCAACATCGCCTGCTTCAATGCCTGAAACACATGTTTGCGTTACAATCGTTCGACTGTGCGATTTCTGCAATGCTGGAAATGCGCACTGCTCTCAAGTGTCCGATCCGGGGGTCAGGCCATCGTGAGTTCTCCACCTCCTGAGCGAAACACTTGACTGGCTATGCAAACTTGACCGGGCTGGTTAATGTCGAAGTTGTTGCGCGGCTGAAGCATCCGTGCTCGGCGAGTAAGCGACCCGACATGAATTGCAGATAATGCAGAAGCAATCCCCAATAAGACTCGCTGTCCGGGATCTCCGCTGCTTCCCCCGAGCTGGTAATCTTGCAAGCTCGGTCTGCACTCATATTGAAGCAGACCATGTTCATGGTGTGTTGCGCAACGACTCACACATACATTTCTGGGTTGTAGCGCCCTTCAGAGTGTTTATGAATAGGTACCTGTTTTAGAGCCAGAAAATAATTTTAAAGTTTCCCAAAGTGCCACCCAGGTGTTGTGGGCCGAACCCAATCCAAGCGGCACTAGAGCCTCCGCCCAAGAAGGCAAAGAGGCATGACATGCAACGAAAGCAGAAGTAGTAGTAGTAGTAGTAGTAGTAGTAGCAGCAGGAGTAGTAGTAGTAGTAGTAGTAGTAGTGGTACTAGTAGTAGTAGTCGTCGTCGTAGTAGTAGTAGTAGTAAGTAGGTAGTGGGTAGTAGGTAGTAAGAAGTGGTGGTAGAAGTAGAAGTAGAAGAAGAAGTAGTAGTAGTAGGAGGAGGAGGAGGAGTAGTGTTAGTAGCGTTAGTACCTACCCGCCGCCACCTTCCCCCCTTCTTTTCCCTCTTTCCCCATCCCTTTGCTTGAATTTTGCTTACGGCTAGGCCAAGACGGGCTAGCTTGCATCATTCACGAATTCGATTTCAATTACAGCCGGGCCGAGGCGGACGACGCGAAGCGTTTAAAATCATTTGAGCCAGATTGCCAACAATCTTGCAATCTTGCCCCACTTGGGGGGGGGGGGGAGCAAGATTGCCAGCAATCGTGCAATCTTGCCCTCAAGAAGTAAACTAGTCGGCGAGCAAGTGGGCCGAGTGGGGCAACCGGGGCAAGATGACCAAGATTGCTGGCAAAGATTGCAGGATTGCAAAAGCACCAAGATTTACTCTCCAAATTAATTGTGCTAGATCCCGGCACAGTGTAGTAGTAGTCGTCGTCGTCGCAGCAGTAGGAGCAATAGTAGGAGTAGGAGTAGTACGTAGCAGGGGGTGGTAGTGGTTAGTGGTAGTGGTAGTCGTGGTAGTATATAGTAGTAGGAGTAGGATTAGGAGTAGGACTACTACTACTACTACTACTACTACTCCTCGTCGTCGCTGTCGTCGTTGTCGTCGTCGTGCTGGAGTTGGACATGTTAGTTGCATCTGTAGATGTAGTTGCAGTCGCAGTAGGCATCCCCCTACAAACTACACGTGGTCAAAGCCTTCTTAGGAGCGCCTCCGTTTTAGGTATTTATCGTGTTTTTATACTACCTTTTGCTGCCATTACTTGCATTTGCTGTGCGTGTCTGGGATCATCGACTAGCCCTGATCCTTACGCGTGGCATTTGGCAGCACTGTTCGTATGGGTGAAGTGTATGCATGCCTTCGCAGGCTAGGGCTTGCTTGTACATTAATTTTTGTGCAATTGCGCATTGCTGTCGTCACTGTCACTGCTTATCCAGCGCCGACATGTGCAGTGGTTCACGGATGTTCATTAGAAGAAGCTTTATATTCGTTGTGAGCAGCTCAGATCACGGAAAGGTCAGCGTAAGCAGGAGTCTAAATACAAGCAATGGGCTTGGCACCAGCTTTGGACAAATGTTTGTCTCGTTTCAGAAGCTCGCTAGCTTGAGCATCTAGGCCAGGAGCCCTCAAAATGGAATGCCACAGTTTTTTGTCCTCGTCACGGTTGCGCAGAGATTCTCCTTTGCAAGGCGTTCTTCAAAGCGATTAGGGGCCTTTGAGTAGTTGAGGTGTCAGGCAATCGGTTGTTTCTGGGTGATCAGCTGCAAGGCCCTTGGTTGGAGACCGATTCTAGGCCCTTCTAGGCCCATGTTGTAGCAGGTGTTTGCACAGTAGTATAAATAATCAGAAGCATATTTGAAGCTATGTGAATAAATGAATCAGTACATACATATTTAAATCTGTAAACAAACAAATGAGCAAATGTCAATGGAAAGAGATAGACATACATAAATAATTAAGCAAATGAAAAAACACACAAACCAATACATATCTAAGTAAATACACATACAGGAAATGCCTCACTGCGTATATGTATATATATATATGTATATACACCCACCCACATACATACATACATACATACATACATACATACATATGTACATACTTACATACTTACATACTTACATCTTTACATACTTACATACTTACATACACATACGTGTGCATATATGTATATGTAGATGTGTGTATATATATATGATTCATATTTGTAAGTAGAAAATATGTCAAGTGCATAAACTGATAACTGCGTGAATATGTACGCAAGTCAATGACAAAAAAGTTACATATACACATAAAAGAGCTTAAGTGGCCATGCCATGTAAGCTTCCTGTAGCTTTTCTTCGGCAGCCCTGCTAGTTCAGGTGACGCCTCAATGCCACCTGGTGCGATATGCTTCTGTTTGCCAGACCGCAGCTTGCTACATGTTTGGTACCAGTCTCGACTTTGGCTGGTACCACACCTCCATGGGCAACAACGCTTCATGCCAAGATGGCTATGGATACCGGTAGTACCAAAACATCTCATGTCAAGGGCTTACAGCAGCTAGTCATTCTTATTCACATATCCGAAGGTACCAATACGAACCGCCATCAACATCACCGTCACGGAGTTACTGTCACCATTGCCATGATTGTACTATCCTCGCACATGGATGTCGCCAGCATCGCCATCATCATCGGCATCACCATAATCATGGTAATCATAAGCACCATATTTGTGTGTGTGTGTGTGTTCATCTTCATCGTCGTTGACATCCAGTGTCGTCACCATCATCACAATGACGACTACGACCACCATCGCCATCAAGCCTCCTTCGCTACCACTCCCCATGCTCAGAAGTGTCTGGCCATCAGCGGCATGGCACTTCGCAGCCCACCTATCCTTGCGAAGAATCCGGAGCTGGGAACGAAAGGTGTATGCTTTCGTGTGAGCGTTCTAGCATATGGCAAGAACTCACCGAATCATCAATGTGTTCTCTGGCCCTGGCCTTGTGTGTAGTGGCACTGAGGATTCATCCTGTAGCAAGAGATTACTGGAGTCGGCAACAAGATCTACCAGCACACAGCATGGTCGAAGTAGTCCTGAGAAAACTGTCTCCTTCTCCTGTCCAAGAGATTCTTGGAACTTGAAATAAAGATCGGTTCAGCCGTGGATCAGCTTTAAAACATGGAGCGCGGCCCCCCCTACCCAGCTCCGGATTTCTCAGTTTCAGTTTCGCAGACGAAGCAGCTTCCAATGCTTGAGGCCAAGGAAGATAGTGATAGTGACCACTTCTCTGATGCTTGGATCTATGGATCATTGTCGCAGATCTTGAAATGTTTGCCTTTCCTGCTCTTCATCATCCAGCGCCACTCCTGGTTCTTTCTGCTATAGTCATGATTCGTATTGATGACAAGCTTGTTGCAGCTCACCGTACTGTTAATGTTGTATATAAGTGTCAGTACTGCAACTGTTCGTGTTGCATTTAAGATTGATTTCGTGACTATCTTGATCCTGGAATTTCTATCATGGCTGCACTGTTGTGAATTATCAGCTGTTCTCAAAGCATTCGCAGTTTCAACAGCATCCGGAGCAGAGTTACAGTCGTAATAATCGTATTTGGCTACAGTCACATCAGAAGAGCCAGAGCCATCAACACTAACAGAGACAATATTTGTCACTACAGTGATCATGATGCAAGACTCGAAGTTCAACCTAAGATTTTTCTGGCAGCGCCAATAGAGGCATTGGCAGCATTGAGAAACACAAATCCATACCGAAGCTGCCCGACATTTTTCACCTAGCGCCCGAGATTGTGAAGTTGCTACAAGGTGGCCGTGGCTGAACCAGGCCCTGATATTTCAGCGTCCGTTGGACGGTTCACTCGTCCGTGGTGCAGCACCTCGCTGCCTGATAGAAGCAGTTGCAGGCATCTTCGTAACGGCATCGTCCAGAAGGGCAGTAGTGATATCTATTGGTGATGTGGCGGCGGTGGTGGTGGTGGTGGTGGTGGTGGTGCTAGCAGACACATTCCTACCACCACCGCCAGCAGTGACAGTATCAATAGTCCGAGTAGCAGTGGTTAGCATTGGTGGATTTTAATCCCTGCGCTTGAACAGCGATCGATACTTCATGTACTGGACCTTACGCTTGGTACAGGTCAGTGAATTGCTGGAGGTGCCCTCCAGCCAGCTGTTTGCATCCTGCTGCTCTTCGCAGTTCCTGGTACACTAATTTAGCTTGAAACGGCATTCTGCTCCACACTCCAAGGGGGCAGCCGCAGGAAGGTTGTGCCAGCTCAGTTTGCCGTCAAAGAACAGATAAGATATGACAAATAGTATTGTGCAGCCTTTTTTTTTGCGCCACGGCCTGCAGGGTAGAACCTGCAGAAGATCAGCAATAAATCTGCAGTTGACAGCGTGGCTGTCTTGCGGCAGCACAGCTTGCCGGAATCCTGTTCATGCTGGCTTAGAGCAGACCTCCCGACTCTGACTAGAAGTGCCCGACTAGTCAAGCCGGACATTATGCGTATCCCTGTTCGTAAGTTTCTCCCGGAGTTTCCTGTCCTCCTCCCTCGAGTCCAGAGCCCAAAGCTCCGAGCCGTCTCATCCAAGCCTTACACTCTCCTCGCCTAAAGTCCCTCAAGCCTGAATTCCACTGCCGGATAGGAACAGAGGTGTCAACAAAAAACCAAGCACCTACTTTTACTATTATTATTATTATTTCTATTATTATTATTCTTATAATAATATTATTATTATTGTTACTATTATCACTTCTATTATGATTACGATTACTACTACTATTTCTACTAGTAAGTTACTACTGAATCTTGGAGCCTTGGAGCCTTGCGCCCTATTCCTTCACCTACAGCGACAGGCTCCCAGAAGGAGCATGAGCCAGCCTGTGCAGGTCTCTTGAGGTTTGATATGTCCGGGTTCCGTATGAAAGGAGCAGGCCCTTCCGAACATGATACAAAATCCATCAAGCCCTGGCGTTGGCTTCGATTCTGGTCGATGGCACTTGGTTTGTGGAAGGGCCAGCCCAGCCCGGACACGGCGTTGACGTCGACAATTCCAAGAGCCTTGAGAAGAAACACACATGAAATTTCTTGGTGGGGTTGTGAGGGTTGTGCAGCTGTACAGTCATGTCGTACAGCGGCTCAGATCTAGCATTGTTTCGTTTTCCATGTCAGGCTTTTCCGCTGTGATGCACTTTCGTGTCTTTTGATTTGGTCTCCGAGTCTTGACGTGGCCCTCGGCTCGAGGCTTTGCAGTGCTGGCTTTAAGGTCCCGGCCTTTCGGGTTCGTTTTGGGGCTCCGACGTTGCAGAGCTGGATCTCGGCATCCGGACAGGTTCGCTTCTTGACAGTGACAGTGGGGAGCAATCGAATAAGCCAACAAGGCAGTACAAAAGGCATCTACGCTTTATGAGGAAGGAGACGAAAGAAGCAACAACACAATTTGATTTGTGTTACTGTAACAGAGTACTCGTAGCTGCCAGCCGCGATCAGTGCTGAGTGCACATGGCAGTGCTAGAAGAAACATCATGTTTAGGCAAAACGATGACGATGCCGACGGCCTCTGATTGACTCGAATCATAATGGTGACGGTCGTCAATGGTAAGGGCCATCTGGATGATCATCATGACGAGTCCTCTGACGGTGATGGCAGACGAGGATGATGAGGATAATGAGGATGGTGGTGGTGGTGGTGCTGCTGCTGCTGCTAGCTGCACATGGTATTCCGACCCATCAGCATGACTTTTGCCACACCAAGAAGCCTTGTCATCAGAACCATCACCTCATCCGGTGCCTCAGCGATACTATCTCCACCGTCGGTGTTTACAAACCCCCCAAAGCCTTCCCGGATCATCATCATGAATGTCAGCAGCAGCAGAGGCCTCCTAGCATCATCAGAATCACAGGCAGCAAGCGGCACCGTGGTCTTAGCAGCCCCTGGTGACCATCGGCGTCTTTCCTGTAGTTGTCGTGCTCTAACCCGTACATACTTCTCGTAATTATCATCATTTCCATTGCCCCATCATCATCATCATCGTCATCATTGCCACCATCGTCAACATCATCATCATCATCCTCCTCCTCCTCCTCCTCATCATCATCATCATCATCAACATTTTCGTAGTCGTCGTCATCATCATCATGATCCTCATCATCATCCTCGTCGTCGTCGTCATCATCACCAGCATCATCATCATCGTCATCACCCTCATCATCAGCAGCATCATCATCGCGTGATTGTCTGCCTTGCGTTGATTTTCAGCGTCGCACTATCCTTACATTTGAGATTTGAGAGCGTGCATGAAGACGCGCACCGCTGTGCTCCTCCTTGTCCTCGTCTTTATCATCCCCATTGGTGCTATTAGAATTATCATTCTGATCATCATTGTTATGAGCATCATCGTCATCATCGTCATCATCGTTATCATAAGCATCACTACCATTGTCATACTCGCTGCTGCTGTTTTCTTTTCTTCTTGGTCATCATGCTTGTCATTGCTTGTGGCAGCGTAGTTACAACCGCCATCGGGATCGTTTTCTCGTGCGGAATCATTGGGATCGTCGCCGTCCTCCTCCTCCTCCTCTTCCCCTCTTCCGCTTCCTCGTCTCCCTACCCCGCGATGAAGCTGATCCCCAGCATGATCGCTCACAATTCAGAATCATCAGTATCTTCATTACCCAACATTACCCAACGGTTCTTAGTCGTGGTCGGCGGAACTCGCTAGCCCTTTCGGCTGTGAGCTGCCAACCATGGCAGCCAATGGGTATGCAACGCATGTTAGACATATGGACCCATCTGATACCTGAGGCTTCTTCTGACCAGCAACTCTCCTTTGCATTGACACCCTTAGCCATTCGCCACACAACCCAGATCCAAGTTCTTGAACAACCGCACCACCCCAGATGCCATTCTTGGGATGTTTTGTTTCGGATCGCAACTTTTTGCGTTCGGGGGTATTGAGTTTCTCAACATAGCAACTCGGCCAACGACCCATGATAGCCATCGAGGTCTTGGCACTCGCCGAAACCCCAAAGTCTACACTCAAACCCTCCAAGCGAATCGTGCAATTGCATCTGCACCGGCGTTCCAGTTGCCTGCTGTCTGGAGCCATGGCATATCTTACCAAGGTTCGCATTGTGAAGTGTTTTGCTTTTCAGGTTTCCTGTTTCCAGTTGCAGACTTCGGCTTCAGTGATTCAGGGCTTGCGGGTTGGACTTATATCCGACCGATCCCTAAACCGAACCCTGAGGACGACCGTCCAGATTTCGCGTTTTGCCTCCGGTGCCAGGAGGAGGAAGACGATCGGAAGTACGAAGACAAGGAAGAGCTGCTGCGGCCCCGGAGCTCTGCCCGGTATTATATTATTACTGTATATGGCTGTTATGATGATGCTTCAATGATGGTTCAAGAATGAAATAATGATGATGATGATGATTTATTTTTTGAGTTTGCTAGTGGCAGGCTTTATTAGCTAGGGAGGATTGCAAGCAGGGCTTTGGAAGTCGCTACAAGGATGCTCGGCCAGTCCTGGAAGGGTTTTGGATGGAGATGCATGGTGTAGGAGCCGTTGCCACCAGCTCCATCGAGATGTCGCGGTGCTCGCGATTCTAGAGATCCATGCACGTTGAAGCCAAGAGCCTCTAACCTGAACCCCTCGGATGTGACTGCTGAGGGTTCGAAGTTGCGAGTCGGGAGAGATCTTGCGCATCATCCTGGTTTTAATTGGGCATGCTCTTCTGCAGCTCGGTACATACAGACATGCACATGCACCTTCGAACAATTGCACAGATACATAGGCGATGTGCTAGTATGGAAGAACGTAGCAACCTAGAGTCTGGTTTGGGATGATAGCATTAGGTTGGAATCTGCAGCCCAGCAGATGCAACCAAGCTACTGCCCTTTGCCCTTTCTGAGGTCTCCTTCGGGCAAGCCAGATGATGAGGCTCCATCGGGCCATCTTTCAAGGTTAAGGGATGTGTTTCAAGCCATCATCTTTTCGGAGTGCCCAGGCGGCGCAAGTCAACTAGCTTTCTTTCTCAAACTGCAGACCAGAAGCCAAGACTCCGCTTGCAATTGCTGTGCCTGTGCTCGCACCTATGGTTCATCTGCAGGATCCCGAGACTCGCGTCTATGGCTGGCGAGACGGCACTCCCTTGACCAGGCCTGGCGTAGCAGCCTGGGCCCTGAACACTGATTTTCCTTGAATCTATACCTCCTTTACAGCTGTACTTCAACATATCAGAAATATAACAAGACATGATAACCTATGTAATTTATACAGGTCGGTGGTCTCTTTACTTGGGGTTGCTGTTTTCAGGGGCTGTATATAGGGATTCCTTATTATCACAACATAAAGGAGCTATATTTGGTAGTAAACGGAACATATAAAGTGACCACCAGCCTGTTTAATTATGTAATGTACAAGTGCAATTTTTGTGCCCGTTTCGGCTGCAGGCCGGACGTCAGCGAGATCATCAGATCGGAACCCCGTGCGCAAGCCGAGTGCGCCAGGGACCCCTCCACATTAAAGGGTTTAGGGCTTAGGGGTTGAGGGATTCAGGGGTTTAGCGTGTAGAACTTCAAGGTGAAGAGGAACCACAGACTGAGCCAAAGATGCTGGATCTTCTTGAGGAATCCCCAGGCTTTTGGCCAATTCAGCTCTGACCAGAGCCTCACCAGACTTCAGTCAGGAGTAGGCTTTTATATCACATACGTAGGGCTCTTGAGATTTTCAATCCAAAGCTGCTCGCCCAGGAATTTGCTCCAACCGGATGAAGCTGGGTTGGAGAAACCAACCGGAACTTCGGAGCCATCGACCAGAGGATTCTTCCCCCAAGGCAGCGATTTCCTAGTACTGGGACGGAAAATCCCAACAAGCTGAGACTGCTGGGTGACCGGCCCGAGCCCTCAAACCGAAACCCCAAAGCCTACGCGCCTAAAGCCCGAAACCCTGCAGCATAAGCCTTACTTGCACAGCCTAAACTCTTAAAGCAAGGCCTTCAAACCTAAACCCTCCCCGCCCTGAACCCTACACCTCATCCCTGCCTTAAAACCTACACCCTAAACCCTAAACCCTAAAGCCTACACCCCAAACCCTAAAACCCTAAACCCTAAACCAGGTACAGGTCCCTCAAGAAGCAAGGCAGCCACAAGCGAGCACCGCCCGAGGCTGGGCTGGGCATCTAACTAAGACACTTTAGTCCCGGTGTTTCAGCACCAGGACTATAGCTGCTATGATTGCTCCAACAACCATACTTACTACCAAATTGTGATAATGTTTATCATTCTTGTAACAAGAAACCAGAAAAGTAGAGGCAACGTGGCCGCTAGTGCTTAAAACTCCTCCTCCTCCTCCTGCAACTCCTCCTCCTCCTCCTCCTTCCTCATCCTTCCTCCGCCTCCACCTCCTCCTCCTCCTCCTCCAGCGCGTGCAGGAAGAGTGAAAGGTGTGCCATAAGGAGCCGAGTAATGATCTGATGCACTCTCGTCAGTTCTTCACGGTTCTTCTCGGGACTGATGCACGTGCGAAATTCCGAAGGACTGGAAGGTAATATTTCAGAATTACAACACAGGCCACCACCGTTGCCGCTGTAGCCGTTGCTTTCGAAGCCAACCTCGATTTGCCTTTTAAGGCTCCGGGGGCCTTGCCCGTATGGCACTGCATTTCTATTGCCTGGAGATCTGCTTTGTCCGTAGATCTTGCGCTCCATGTCATGTCCCCTGATACTGCAGGCAGACCCCCTGGAAGGTCTACCTCCTACGTGGCAGGTCCAGGGGCGAGGGTGGGTCGTTTCCTTCCAGCCAATGTCATATCGCCCTGTGACATGTTAAGCACCAGGCCATCGTCCTCAAGTAGTAGTAGTAGTAGTAGTAGCAGCAGCAGCAGTCGTCGTCGTCGTCGTCGTCGTCGTAGTAGTAGTAGTAGTAGCAGCTGCTTGAAGTACAAGAAGTAGTAGTAGTAGTAGTAGTATTGGTGGTGGTATTAGTATTAGCATTAGTAGTACAATTACTAGTATGTGCGTTAGAATTCGTATTTGTATTGGTATTCAAGTTAGTATTCGTATTCGTACCAGTATCAGTATCAGTATTCGTATTAGTTTTAGTAATCGTATTTATATTTCAATTCGCATTCGTATTAGTCAGCATGAGTATTGGTGTCAGTAGTCGTAGGGGCCGCTTGGTTTGTGCTCGGGGCTGCCTCTGGAGGCCGAGCTAGCGATCAGACCTTGAGGTCCCCTGAAACAACTTCAGGCTTTGGATCCTGGGTTCTTGTTGAGGCATTCAAGTTAAGTTACCATAATAACTGGGATCTATAGTAGATCAATATGCTTTTGTTATTACGGTAGCTGAATTCAAGTCCCGTAGCAAGAACCCAGGTCACTCTGTGTCATCTGAGGCTGTGAGCCCCTTTGTAGACGAGCAATACAGCAAGACAATGCCGCTTTATGCCATCTGAGCATATACACCATGATACACCCCTGTCCTCCACTGCTAGGCGGTCTTCTCGGCTGCACCCAATGCTGCCCCACAGGCGTCTGGCAAGGGGTGCCAAGGGGATGACATCTCAGGAGCTGCGGAAGCCCATGTACCCACCAAGACCTTGAACCGGATCTGGTCACACCTGTACGGTTCTGCCTCGGGCACCGCCTTGTTTCCCGGCAACTCGAGGAGACAGCATCTGTGTCTAGCTTGGCCGCCTTTGCTGTCAAAGATCCATGAGCCCTGACAGCCTGGTCTCAACTCCTTTAACCCGGAAGCCTCGGCAGCAGGCGGCCTGGAAGGAGTACAGCTCCAAGAAGCGGAAGACTGAGTCGACGAAGAAGAAACCGGAGGCCAAGACTCGCACACTCTGGGATGGGTTCGGGTTCGTCTCTTCTTGCTTCTGCCATTCTCCCAACCTGCAGAGATTTCAACGGCACGTGCTTCCCTGACTTTGTGGCCTGGCCTCAGCAGGACCAACGAGGCTCCAGGAGGATAGCCGGTGTCTTTCGAGTCGCTAGGGATAGCGCCGTCGTGTCGCTTGAGAATTTGCCCCCGGCTCGAGGGACGGAGGTCACGCTGCGATGGCCCTGGCCCTCTGAGACTGAACGCATCACCTCCGAAAGCTCGAAAGCTTTACTCCACACACCTGAGGCAGCGAGCTAAGCCTTCAAAGCACAGATCGTCCTGCACTTCCTCGCAGGTCCGTGTGGACATCCAGCTCGACTGGGAGAGCGCCGGCCTGAGCATTTGCGTGGTTCTTTGCATCGTAAACTCGTAGACCTTTGATGCCACGCATATATGGTGGGTACATGGGGTGTATAGGTAAATTTCTGTGTAGGTATGCACGGATGCGTTCATGGAGGCAGGTAGGCAGGCAGGGAGGCAGGGAGGGAGAGAGGGAGAGAGGGCGGCGCGCGGGCAGGGGGTGAATAGGTCGGTGTGCTTAGATTCATCTTGATGCAAGACTTGTACACTGATAGATACACAGACATGCAGTAAGGATATCCTTTAGAACAGCCAGCAAGTCCTGCCTCCACCTTGGAATTTCCCTTCGTGTTGTGCCCGAGCAGTGCACAGCCCAGTTCAAGCACCGGGGAGCGAAGTGACTGTACAAAGCTGATTGTTATGTAGTGGAACTGGACCTTGGAAAAGGCAGAGAGAATGAGACACCAGAGGAGGAGATCGCCAGGCAGGAGAGTGACTTGCAAGAAATGGAACGGCCTCACACCTTGACGCCTTCGGAATGATGATGTTAGTAAGCTTGACCAGCGCTGCACGGGGTCTCCCTGCCAGGATAAAGCCGGAGATAGAGCGATTGTCGAAGGCTGGGTGGAGGGCGGAGCAACGTAAATAGTCCGGGAATGCTGTTGCATAGGACGGGGGGGTAATGATTATCGAGGGCGTCTGAATCCATGAGCAGGACCTAAGCCCTGTCTGTGCCGATCGTCCTTCGTCTGATGCGGATTTGGCTCGGCAGGCCATCCGTGACAACGCGGAAGCCAAGGCAATAGCGTTGGTCGGGCTAGGATGTTTCAGAGTTATGCCACTTCATCGAAGCCGTCCAAGCTGGAGGATGGGAAAGTGTACATTTGTGGCCCAACACTGGGAAGTTGACCCGCCAGTATCAGTCTCTCAACAGCTCAAGCATCACACGCCAGCTTGAAGCTGGCGCCATCGTGTCCTCCAGGCTTGGAAGCAGAAAATTGCTGAAGCCACCAAGCACTTAAAGGAGGGGGAGAAAGCTTCGAAGTGCCCCAGCTGCAAGAGGATCAAAATGCAGACTACGAGTTCGGGAAAAGGCATGCCATCAAGGATGCCACCAGAGTATTCTGCTTCAGCGCTTGGTTTGTGATGGTTCATGACATGTCCATGCCTTCTGCTCGTGGCCGGCTGCAGCCTGACTGAGAGTCTTTGCCTCAGGCAAGTGCTGCGAGCTTTTGAAATCGCCAGCTACAACAAAGCCGTGGCTTCCGGACAGCTCAGGCACGCGGGACCAATCCCAGGCATTACATCAGGGGATTTTTTTTATAGCTCTAGAGACACCGTAGAGTGCCCGCCCATGCAATGCTCGCCTGAAGTCTCCGGGCGTGACATCGGATTTTGGTTTGCTTCCCCCCAAAGCCGCTTCCTCGCCAAATGCGTGATGCTCCAAACCGGCCCAGAACGGCTTGAGAATTCCAAGACAAGCATAGTTTTGATCTGCATGCTTTTTGCGACTCCTCTTGGACTGGATAAGTTAATAAGCTGCGTGGAAGCAGCTCTCGCGTCCCTGCTCAGATCCTCGGATATGTACTTCCAGTTCTTGACGCAGGACAGGGGTTTCTGGACAGAACCTGTTTCAACGTCAGAGAGGTGTATTTCCCAGTGTCACTGGCGTTTGGAGTCAGTTTCCAGAGCCCCGACTCTTGTTTGCGAGGACACTGCCAAGGATGCAGAGACCCAGGCCAAAGGGAGATTCCATTGTTGGCGGTGTCCCGAAGCCTTGAACGGATGCAGGGCCTTCGCTTTGCTAGGCATCCGCCTACGCTGAAGCATGTATAACTTGAACACCTAAGGGGTCCCTTCTGTGTTTGGCCTTCTTCCCCGGCAGGTCACTACCCTAGAGCGGTCCTGCGCCTTGATGGACAAGACCATGGACCTCTTGAAAGGGCACATCAAGAAACTCGAGGAGGTGGGCTTCCGGGGCTTGGTACATCCTGCACCTCCCAGAGCAGCAGAGACTGTCAACTCTTTTCTATGAAGCTGTGCTGTGAGGTGGCCGCCGAATCCATTCCGGCGGAGGAGTCGCACGAGAAGGAGATTGGACTTGACTCCTCAGGGCTTGCTTTCGGTGCATTTCTTGCGGATCTGTTCTCTGGGCTGAACGACTCTGGATTCTGGTTCACAGCAAGGCGGATAGGTTGCACCTTCGGGTGCCCAGGCTTCGGACAAAAGGAGATTCAAAGAGAGCTTTCGAGGTCTCAGTGCAAGACTTCCAGGATGATCCTGAACAGATATCATCCTCCGCTGTGCAATGCTGTGCAACTCCCAGCTCTTTTTGGGGCTCTTCGAAGCTGATTTCAGGATCTCCTCTCGCCCAGTCCTTCCTTGGGGAAGACCCCGGGCCCTCTGAGCCCAAGCCCGGGCTTCCTGGGACGCTCTCCGGGGCCCATGGCCTCCCCCGGGCCCGCGGCCGCGCGGCTCCGGGCACTCAAGGCAGGGAACAGGGGGTTTCCTTCATGGGAAGCCCTTCATTTTTGGGCTTTGGCGGCTGCTACCTCTTCTTTTGTTTTGTGAAGTCGGGCGGAGCTGGCGACTTGCAAGCGTTTGGTATCGCATGCCCGGAGTCCCTTTCGATTAGGGTCTACAGCCCGGTCAGTTTTTCGATTCGCTGCAATACATATGCATGTGGATGTGCGTGCATCTGTTCTTGGGTGTCGTGCTTACAACTGACGCCCTTCAGTGATCTGAACCACGTCAACAGGACTTAAGCTATCGATGAGTTGCTGAAGCACGAACTTGGATGACTCTTCTTTCGTCTCCACCCCGTCATTCGAGCATTGGCCGCGAGTTAGTCGCACAATTCGAGCACAATCCCCAGTCAAGCACTGGCGACTCAAGACAAACGTCGATGTTTGCACTGGCTTTTCTCAAGGGGTATCGGTTGTGGGTGGTTGTGGTTTTGAGAATTTTTGGCCTTTAGGTTTTTTTGTTTGTGCTGGCGTTTAGGGTTGAGTCCGAACGGTGCGGTCTCGTGCGAATCTGCCCGGTGTGCAAGTCCAAAAGCCAGTCAACTTCCGGGTGCGACGCCGTCCGCTGAACGAATCAGACCATCCGCGCATCCGCCGCAGGCGAACCCCCCTTTTTACGCGAGCTTCCTAGTGCGAATCTTCTGTTTATTATGTGTGAAATGGTTTCCTACAGCGCAGTAGTGGATGGCATGGCTTCATTTGTTGCTGCCTGGGTCAGGTCCCTCCGGTGTCGCCCTCTCTGCGGGATTAGCCTGCAAAGCTTGCCTCTGGCACTCCCGCAGAGCAAAGATCTCCGGCAAAGCCAGAATCACTTGCGATGGCTGGATGCGATGGGCGCGCGCGCCCAGCAAAAGCCGGTTTGCTTTGATTCTCTAGTGCCGTGCCACCATGCCTCAGCCCGAGCTGACTTAATTGGGCAGGGAAAGAGCGAATGCTGTTTCCCAACTAGGATCGCCAGACGCTTCCTCGTGTATGACCCTTCCTTGGTAAGGACCAACGCCATGGCCACATGTCCGAGCTGCCATTCAGTACATTGCGCGGCTTTGGATCAGGACCAGTGGGTAGAAAAGCGAACCCGCATGTGTCCCCATCAACATGGGATGGTTTAGCCCCACCAGCATCACTAGGCTTGTCAGCCGCGACATCTCACCTGAGAAGACCCTAAGAGCCCTGTGCCAAATCCGGGTACGTGGGACGCTTCGGCCTTGGGTGATCAAGGTTTGGGGATACGTTTGGCTAAGTAAGAGCAGCATGGCAGGTGTTCATGGTAGAAGTATGTGGAGAAGGCAAGCACCGGTGAGAGTGGTTCTGGTAGTGGAGGTGGCAGAGAGGAAGTAAGAGAGTAAGAGGAAGGGGGCAGTGGGCAGTGGTGGGCAGTGGTCACTAAGCCCTGGGCAGTGAGCAGTAGCAGTCGTAGTGGCAGTGGGAGTGGTAGTGGTAGTGGTAGTGTCAGTGGTATGGGAATGGGTAGCGGTAATGGTAGCAGGAGTAGGTAGTAGGAGCAGGTGGTGGGTGGTGGGTCGTAGGTGCTAGGTGCTACTTGTGGTAGGTCGTAGGTTGTTGTTGGTAGTAGTCGTGGCGGAAGTGGTGGTGATGGTCGTGGTGTTGGCATTAGCAGTAGGCGACGACGAAGACGTAGACGTAGCAGCAGTAGCGACACTAGGAGGAGTAGTTGCAGGAGGAGGAGGAGGCGGAGGGGGAGGAGGAGGGAGACGCAGAAGAGGAAGAAGAACACGAAAGAGAAGACGCACCCTCGAACTTCCCCGTCTTGAACCCTAAGCACCGATTGGAGCACCGAGGCCCGCCATGGCATCGGTTTGAGTGCTCAGTCGATCGAAGCGAACACCGCCAGGCGCCGAACCACAAACCTGGAGTCGTAGCATTGGTTGTGTCGGAGTCGGAGGGTGTTTGACTTGTGAGAACCATCGGCTGCAGGGGAGCCTAAACACCCGAAGTGTGAAGCCGGAGCTGGCAGCTTGCTATCGGTGCTTGTAGGAGAAAGCTATGGAGCCTCGAGTCTAGAGCGCAGCATGCTGGGAGGCCTGTCCGGATTCGAGAAACATGCTGGCACCCTAGATTGGGCTCCAGTGGGAGGCAGTATCCCAGCATGGTGCTAGACTGCTTGGACATTCAGTAGTCGGCAGGTGTGCTGTGCCCGTTGACAATCAAAGAAGGGTTTCGCTGGTGGAAGGTATGCAGGTCGGAAACCGAAATCAGCAGAGTAGTTCCCTTCATCTGAAGTTGTTCTGGCACTGTGTTTCGTGTTGGGCAGCAAGACTCAAATCAACTCTGCACCAGCCAGACCGCAAATCGTGAACTTCATTGCGACCGAGGCCGAAGAAGGACCGGCCGACGCCACTCCCCGACTCTCTACTCTTCTCCCAGGAGGACCACTGGCTAAAGGTGACGGTCCGACACGGTGGGCACTGAAATCGGAAGACACGCCTTTGTAAGTTGTTCGCGAGGCTTCTTGCAGCGACCGTAGTGCAAAGAACCACTCATGATCGGTTCCAATCAGTGCATGATGAGACGTCTTTGTGAGCATCTGCTCGAGGGGATCCTGCAAAAAACGTTCTCTCGCCTATTGAGCTGTACGTACAGGCCACGTGCTCTTCTTGTATGTTTTGATCATTTGCTGCCGTTGCTTTTGGTGTACGGTAGCCGGGCCGTGCAGGACATCCCCGTTCACAATACCTTCATCCAATTTGATGCGCCTGAACGTTCCGGTCTCGAGTTCCAACACGGCTGCTGAGTGCATCAGCCGGGTTCATGCAACAGAGGGGTTCCTGGAATCTTGAATCTTGGATCCGGGAGTATGGAAGTTAAATCCTCGGGATTGAAGTTCAATACGTCGGACTGAACTCCAATTGACTTGCCCTTCCCATGTTAAACGTGGCCGGCCGCGTGCCATCATGATAGCCTACCCTTCCAGCGTCGCATGCAAATCAAATCCACGAAGAACAATAGTAGTGTTGCTTCGATTCTTGCTCACTGCAGTCCGTGGGACCCAATATTATTCCTCTTTTAAGGAATAGACCCAAGAATGGCACGGCTTTTCATATTCTCCCTACCATGAGTGCCAGCGTGATAGCCTATCCTTCTAGAGCTGCATGCAAATCAAATCCACCATAGCATGTAGTGTTGTTTTCCGTGTGTTGCTCACTGAAATCTGTTGGAAATGGCTGAAGATAAACAGTGCTGCTGGCCCCCAACATAATTCCTGTTTGGTAGTAGTAATAACGGTCGCAGCAGCAGTATGGATGTTGAAGCTTGTTGAGGCCCTTCATATCTGACAGCAATGAGTTCCAACAGCAACCCCAACGTCTCTTCTATTCTATTGTAAGCTATGGTTCAGCTAAGTAGTATAGTGGCCTAAGTGGCAACCCTCATATTGGCCTCAACAAAGAGATCAAGCTCCAATAGGAACCTTAAGAACCAAAGTGAAGTTGAAGTGATTCCTCATCCAAAACAAAGTCCACCTTGACACTAAAGGCCTGTCCCTGACAAGGTTGTACTGGCGACTCTGATGTTACCGTCGATACCCCCTCCTTCACAAAAAACTACCCGAAATGTAAGCCCTGAGGCTGAACTGCAGGAGTATCATGAATGGTCATCCTAGCCCCCGAGCAGTATCCGGAAGCCTGATATTGACCTGACAATTTAGCTGACATGCAGCCCTCAACTCTAAACCTTATTGGTTCGGAGAAAAGCCATGCTGCAGCTAGCCTGGTATCAGTGCATCAGCCTGTGGGGAACCTTTGTTTCCAGTACGCCTGGCCTAGATGAAGACAATCCTCACAGCACAATGCCAGAGCCGATAAACGCGGGTTCGCATTAAAAACTGAATATGACCCCGGGTTTTGGGAACATGCTCCTTCACGTGCCCTTGAAAGCCACGAAAAAGGTAGACATCTGAGGGGGGGGGGTGCATGGACATATATATATATATAATCTATATTTGTTGTATCTATCTGTCTATCTATCTATTTATCTATCTATCTATCCATCCTATCTATCCTATCTAGCTATCTAGCTATCTAGCTATCTAGCTATCTAGCTATCTAGCTATCTAGCTATCTAGCTATCTAGCTATCTATCTATCTATCTATCTATCTATCTATATGGTATTTTTTGAGCTGAGGCATCGAAGATGAGAAATCGCTGGCCACGGCTCCGGCCTGGATAGGCCCGCTCTTGAAAAGCCCTTCAAAAGAGCTTCCAAGTGAGGGCTGTCCCTGCTTCGGTCTCTGTGCAGCAAGCCCTGCAAGCAGCCGAACTCCAGCAGTGCGGTGATTCGCATTCTAAAGAGAAGCACTTCGGCTGACAGGGCCATCAATGCAGAGCGTCGTCCAAAGTGCGATGAAAGTCTCAGAGCCACCGATCGGAACTCCAGTGGGGCACTCAGTGGGAAGACCGGAAGTGCTCGAAGAGGGCACATGGCTCCAAACATTGCGTGACTTGCTGTTGGGAAGCGCGCGCACCAATGAGTACTATGAGTGAGAATTCCGTTGTTCGCCAATGGCTGCAGAAGCTTGCAGAGCTTCAAGTTCCGAAGCACTGCATAAAAGGATGCAGTTGGTGTAAGGCTTAGGGTTCAAGGAAGATGCGCTAAGCCTTAAGCTTTTCTAAACGCTAAGCCCCAGTCTCAAATAGTCCTAAACCCTGAGCTTATTCTGTTCTCGGATGATCTAGTAGAACCGTTCTAACAAGCAGTCCCTGAATCAGCAAAGTCAGGGGGCCCCAAAAGAAGCAAGTCGAAGTCTTTCGACTTCTCAGGCGCCAGAGCAGCCGCCGAGGCTCGCATTGAGCCCAAGGTAACCCTAAACCTTACATCTGCAACAGTACCGGTCGGGATGGTGTAGTGGTTCTACGTTCTTCTGCATGCCTTAGTTGGTAGGCTGACTCGTGGGTTGGTTTGTGTGTGTGCTGGCCTGCACAGTCCAACGCCTCGGCCAACATGGCATTCTGACCTTCGGCATGCAGTAGGGACGAAAAGGGTAGCCAACAAAGGGCTGAGAGGTCTTCAGCACTATGGGTTTTCAGGGCTCTTGTACTCTTTGTGTTATTCATGACTGATATAGCAAATAACAAAAGATACAAAAAGGGTACTTTTGTAGGTTTGTAAGGATCTTATGTGATAATGGTTGCCGCGGTGCTGCAAGCCTTCAGGGCCTGTGAATGTAGAATCCCTTTGATTTCTATTAGTACTAGTATTGGTATTGTCAGTTAGTAGTATTGCAACTAATTACTATTGCCATCATTGTTCCCGATATTGTTTCTATCATTTTTAACTTATAGAGATAATAACAAGAAAATCATTATTATTACTATTATTGTTCTTATTATTATTGTTATCATTGTCGTTATTGTTACCATCGTGATGATGATGCTGATGATGATGATGATGATGGTGATCATGATTAGAACTTTACACGGAGGGTGTGGTGAAGCAATCAGGGGATTTTGCCAGTTCCGAGGTCACGGTTTTTGCCGTTTGAAGCCAATCTGTCCAAGCTTGCTGTAGGCCTTTGCCAGCCGATCTTCCTTCAGCCCGGGTCTCAGCAGCCTGCAGCAAGGGAAGCGGCATCCAGAAGTCGGGGTCGAGCGAACCAACCAGGTCATAAGACTCTGGGAGACAGTGGTCGCGATGCCCTCCGATGGGGAGCTTCGCCTCTTTCGGTTGACTTAGCAACCTAATCCGAAACCCGAAGATGCGGCGTTAATCCTTTATGAGGGACACCGGAGATCAGC